CTTTCTTCCAAATACCCGCTTCAAGAGAGGTTCACGATGTCATCGTCATCATGGATGGCTCGGGATCGGTTTCGTCTTGTGAATTCGACAAAGCAAAGAAGGCGCTTCGTTACCTATTAACCATGAAAAATAGATACGTGGACCTCAAGTATGCTGCGATCACTTTCTCGGATTCTGCCTCTGTGAATTTCAATTTTTTGCCGGAGTATTTCGCAGCCGATCAGATGAATAGAATCACTCGCCCAGGACAGGGCAGTAACACTCAAGCTGCATTGGCGAAGGCTATGGAATTATTTCAAAACTCCTTGGCAGGTAAACTTTTCATACATATCGTAACATTACCTCCTTCTTGTATGAGAGGGGAAAGGGGAAAGTATAGGAAATAATGCAAGGCCTCTAGGATATTACTTTCTTCTGTAAGTAACTTACATAAATGTCTGTGAAATGAAATGAAAACCTCAACTTCGCTCTCCGGATTTTTTTTTTAGGAGAGATTCATCTTTATTTAACAAATAGAGAAGCCTTGACTGTGCTCTGTTCTGTTGTAAAGCTGGTAGGAAGCGGCTGGAACAAGAAAGAAGTGCACTTCTTTCAATTAACGAAAAGAAAAGCTGGAAAAAAAGTGTGGGAAATGGTCGTACATAGTACAAATTGGCAGATAGCTGGACAGCTTTAGCTCAGCCCCTTGTTTTGTACTCTGATAGCGCACCCTCATTCAGTACGACTAATGACAGCGCGCGTTATATCCCAACTTAAAGGAAAAACCTGGCCTACGCATTTGTATCCCATATATGGTAATGCTGTCGAATTAAATAGTTAGCCTTTGCCTAAACTACGCAAAATACATTCTTAGTAAAGGAGTTTTATATGAAACCGCATGGGTTATTTTTATTCCTTCGTTCACCCTTAAATTAATTAGGCTTTTGTTCCATGTTTTTAAGGCCGACGTCCAAATGCAGACAAGAAAATAGTTTTACTCGTCACAGATGGAGGATACAATTCCTTTTCTCAAACCAAAGCAAAGGCCCAAGAACTGAAGAAAAGTGGTATAGAAATTTTCGTTATCGCCGTCAGTGGCTACTTTAACGGAATAGCAGAGATAAAGGAATTGGCTTCAACTCCACCGGAAAAGTTCTTTTACGCGGCTTCTGGCCTTTGGGAGGTGGTGAAGCAAATTGCAAAGCATATCTCTCCCCCAGTGTCAATAGGAGACTATAATTGCTGAGCATAATCGTCCTTGCTGAATTAAAAAAAAAGAAGGTAAAGACCCTTCTTAAGTTTGAAACATAGTTTTTTTTGGGGACATTCACTGTTTGTACAAGTTTCTCTTGATCAGATGTAAAATTTCTTTGCTCGGTAGTTTCGTCAAAATCTATCTGAAAGAAGCTCAAAGTTTGCATAGATGGAAACACTTTCCGACCATTTCGAGTTTTCAATTTTCCGCCACAGGCCATCTTTCACCTCCTTTGTGATATGGCCGTTCTTATCATAATTAAATAATAGCACGGATAATATTGGTGACCAGAATTTAAAAAAATGACACAAGATTCAAAATTGATACTCTCAGTGAAAATTATATTTTTAAAATAGCTGATACTTGTTTCGTATTTTCTGCAAATGTTCTGCTTTTTATATTGTCAACGAAGCTTACAGAATATTTTCAACTATCTAACGCTGACCTTGTTTAGCAAGAGAGGTCTTCCCTTAGGAAATGCGTTTTTGTTGTAATTTTTGGTAGTTATAGCTCTATGTATCAATTGACTTTACAATAAATTTCTATTTGTTTAGTGATCGAAGAAAATACAATTTTCAATAAAATGCTGCTTTTATTTTCTGCTCTGTCTCGTGCGAATTTTGAGTATCTCGTTACAGCTACTGTAAATCAACTGGTGATTATGTCATAGAAAAACAGCACAAATTAAAAACAGAGAAGAGGGGGTAATGGCTACCTTTTTGCTAAACGGAGAGGGGTAGGGGGTCGGTGGGGTAGGATGCGTTGCCCTTCTCGCTCTGAATTTGACGAAAATATCTCTGAAGTGAACTAACCGACTTTTGTTTATGAAACTTTCCTGTTAAATATTTCCTTTATCACGTAAACATAGATTTAATCACCAATCACAGATTGGGAGTGACTTCGGCAGAACTCAGTTGGAAGTTAATTGGTCGTTACTTCATGAAACATGTACCTATGTCGACTTTGGTCCGTATATGATTGAAAATTCGATCGAAAACCAAGATCCATGACTAGCCGTGATAAGACAACACAAGTATTCGAAATGACGAGTAAAATGTGAAGCGAAATTTTTTCAAGGTTTAATGAATTGACTGAGAATTTGGTTAAAAGAAAAAAACCTAGAATGTTTGTTGTTTGTAAGAAGTCCTACTTTGGCAGGACGACCGCACCCCCAAAGATTTGTCCCCATAGACAAAATTTTTTTCCGCGAAGAGACAAATAGGTCGCATTTGGTGTGGTCAACTGATGACAGGATTTTGGGTTCAGTGTTAGGGTTAGGGTTTTCATTTTATGGCTGTCTAGTTTTTCATGTACTTTGAGGTTCTCCTCTCAGGAGAGATTTGCTTATAGTTATACTATATTTTGGTCTTCCAATTGATTCATTCTGCAATCGGAAAGCGGGAAATCAAACTGGTAAAGTTGTAGTTGAACAGTAATTCTCAGTATTTTGCAATTTCTAATCAACTCGCAAAGCAACAATACAACTGCTACACATTATCAACTCAATAGATAAAACATAACTATCTTACAGTAGCGATTATGTCTGTTAGAGGACAGCGCGCCCATATGAGGCTTCTCTTAGCATTGAGAATTTTCGCAAAATAATTTTGCCAAGATTGGATCAGGCAAAGACGGCTGTAAATCTGGTAGAAATAAAAATGTAGTCTTATAGTGCTGTGTGTATTTGTAGCTAGAGCCGACTTTCACTCCTGTTCCGTCAAAGTTTTGTGTGCCAGATAATCTGAATATCCCTTGTTATTTAATATTATTTTATTTGTATGCATTTATTTTTACCCTTGAAAGTCCTCGTTCAGAGAACTTTGGCTTTTTCCTTTCTCTGAGTCTCGATCGGTATCGGCAGTACGTGATATGTGTTACTGTACAGTGTAAAGTGTTCATCCAAGATTAAGCTAACCTTCAGCACCACAGATAGAAAATTTTCCTCAGTAACGTGTTAGGTTATTTGTCGCTAAAGATCCAACCTTACTCAAACGATATTTCGATCTAGTTACAGTGAAATTATCAAATTACAACATTACTCATATATCCAATTCGTATACTAAACAAGCTTCCCTGTTGCTGAAGGTCAAATCAGCTGAAAAATTTTTAATCACGCAGCAGGGGCATTAACAAACAACTTATGGAAGAATTGAAACTTTTCATACAGGCTGTGAAACTCCACTGCGTTCGGTCGTTGAGCCCCAAATTGAACAAGTTAACCAAAGAAAGCCACTGAGGAAATACGAGCAAAAGTGTTTATTTTAGCCAAATTCTTTTCGAGAAACGAGTCAAGCTTTTACCTGAAAGATCGAACTTGACAGAAAGATAGCGAGTTACTCTCTGGCTTCCCCGTCTAGGTGAAACTTTCCTAAAAAAATCAATTTTGCAAATGCTCAGCCATCTGGAAAGTAGTTTTTGTTTTGTTTACCAAGCTGAATTATAGAAATGTGAGTAATGGCGGGCTCCTTCGATAGAGTTATGCTGTGAAAAATTACATTTTGTCGAAGAACGGCGCCATGTAAATTTATGTTTACTCATTATGTACGAGAACTAGAAACACTAATTGTTTGCTTTTATCTTTACCTTTAAAAGTCCTCGTTCTGACAAATCATAGTCATTTTCGCTTCTCTTAGTATTCTCCCAATCGGTATCAACAACACGTGATATGTGTTTCTGTGCAGTGTAAAGCGTTCATCTGAGATCACGATAACCTTCAGCACCACAGACAGTTAATTTCCCTCGTTACATGATCAGTTAGTTAATTAGGATGTTTGTCGCTAGAGATCAAAATTTAGTTTAAACGAAACCTTAATCCAATTACAGCGAAACAAACAGCTTACGTTACCAGTCGTATATCTTAGTCATGTTCTAAATCGGCTTCCCTGTTACTGAAGGTCAAAATAGCTAAGAAAAAAATTAGTCACGCAGCAAGAGCATTGCTTGACAAAGAAAGTATGAATGAGTTCCACACGTTTCATGCAAGACGAGAAAACCGCCTGAACATGTTGAGCCAAATTCAGATACTCTACCGCGCACTGTCGTCGAAAGTTTATTTGAAATATTTAACCTAAGAAATCCAGAAAGGAAGTACAAGAAAGGATATCCTCTTTTTCGAAAAACAGAGCAAGTTTGCGCCTTAAGATCGAACGTGACAGAAAGACACGTTACAGTCTGGCTTTCCTGTCTAGGTGAAGCTTTCTCAAAAATAGTTTGGCACATGCTCAGTCCTGTGGAAAGTTCTTTTTTGTTTACCAAGCTGAAGTACGGAGATGTGGGTAATTGCAAGCTGTTTGTAAAGAGCGGTGTGGCTGTGAAAAATTACATTTTGTAGAAGAACAGTGTTTGAACCGTAATGTTGATTTTTATGATTTTTATCAAACCACAATGTACGAGTATTAAAAAAAGTATCGTTGACTGGTTTTGTAGACTAGAACTGAATTTGCTGATCAGGTGAATCTGTCGTTCTTTCAAATTCCTCTTTTTGTAACTTCCCTTAATCGACTTCAGCGCAAAGTTCACAAAGACTGCGTGCTAAATAAAGCTTCAGGCTTCCATGTAACTCAACAACTTCAGCCTTCCCGTCACAGCTTCTGCTACATTCTTTACCTTCGCCAAAGTCCTTGCTGAGAAGGAATACACGTACAGGGACTGCTTTCTGCCTATAAAATCAACCAAGCAAAGACAACCAGCTTCAAACGACTTCAAAGAACGTACAGATCTCTTTAGACAACTGAGGCTTATCTCTTTTCGACGAACTGTTCCAACAATGGCGCTAGTGTTTTACCGATTAATGACGATCGTCATCCTCGCCTTTTTAACTGGTCAATGTTGCGGTAGGAACCCATTTTGGTTCAGACCCACTCCAAAGCGTGATCAACAGTATTATCAGTGTAAGTATAGAGGCACTTAGGTTAATTGTTTTTATTGCCAGGTCTCCTTACGTTATTGTCAAAGTGGGAAACTATAATTTCATACATGCCAGTATTTCAGTGCTACATTTTACACCCTCAAGGAATTCTTCAGTTAACACCACTACGAGAACGAAGAGGACGAGAAGAAAAGAGGAACTCCTTGTTTTCTTTGGCGTTGAAATACCACTACAGATAATGAGGGTGGTACGATTTCGTCATTGCATCAGGATAAAAAGAATTATTCTTTATAGCGAAATAAAACCTTTTGCCGCAACCGAATCACTTTTTTCGCTAGACAAATACTGGTTCAAGTGCTCCCAGAATCTTAAATGAGTGTATAACCATGCTCTATGTAAAACTCAAAGATCCATATCACTTCAATGCGTTTGATGGGCGAAAGGTTAAGTTCGCTCTATGTTGACTTTGTGAAAATACTTGAACTTTATTAGGATTTTGATATAAGTACACGCAAGTAATGCGTTAACGCGTTTTGTGTGTGCCAGTGTCAGTGTATGTCAGCTCCTTGTGGAGAGCAAGCAGAGCATGTTTTTGATTCATTTATTTGGTTACTCATATATTTTTTATAGCATTTCAACACGTGCCGACTAAAAATGAGACCGCAACGAAATTGGTCACCAATTTCTTTCGCATACCCCTCTCGTACTTGTCTCAGATTGGACGGAGCAAGAGGCAGGTCACACAGGAAGATATCGTGGTGATTCTGGACCGTTCAGGTTCGATTGGGGACTGTAACTACAAAAAAGCAAAGCAAGCCCTGAAGAACATGCTTGAAATTGCGTCAGAAGTAGGATATGACAACAGATATGCAGCAGTGACATTTGCAAGCCATGCCACGACCGATTTTACTTTTGTTGCCAATCCGGACGCAGGAATTAAGATAAAGAACCTTCCCTATATCAGTGGGGCAACCAACACTCAGGCTGCATTACAAGAAGCGAAAAGGGTTTTTGAAGATCCTTCTTCGGGTATGTGCAAATTCATTTTCGATCGAAAGCTTTTATTTTAAGCAGAGAGCGTCAACAGTCACAACAGCATTTCTCTAGAACAATCTGGAATCTACGGGTCCATAGGGTAATGATCTAAAGTTCTGTTAGTCATTAAGTTATAAAACTATTACAAAACCAAGCCAGCCTCGATTTTGTGCATAGACGGTATAAGTCTTTCTCTGATAGATGAATAAAGGGGAGTAAGTTTCTAAAGAAACTGTGGTGCTGCGTCGGTGGGAGAGTATAACAGGGTAACTTAGTAATATCAACTGAGTTGATAACGTAAATTGGCCATCGTAAAGAGTTTCAAAGCTGACGTTTCGAGCGTTAGCCCTTCATCAGATTTCACTCTGACGAGGTGTGAACGCTCGAAACGTCAGCTTTGAAACTCTTTACGGTGGCCAATTTACATTATCAACTCAGTTGATGATACTAAATTACCCTGTTTCTCTGATAGAGGTTGCGATGTGATCGATCATAAGTTCTGCCGCTATAATTTAACAATTGGCTACATGCTTAAGGGACACATTGAAAATATTGTGTGCTTTCCACAATAACTCTAAGTCAAAGTCAGTTATAATGATCTTTGATAAACCAGTTTAATACTTTACATCTTAACATTAGTTTTCATATATTCTTTACACTGTTCTCTTAATGCTTTCAATGCCGGGTGCTGATAAAGAGAATTTGTTTGACAATCTGGAGCTTCTTAGATTGGCGGTCACTTCCTTTGTTACATTTGATTTAAGGGTGGTACTCAAAAAAGAAATTAGAATTTACCCAGCCTTTGGGGTTAAATGACTATGATTTTTAGTGAAAAAAAAACTTGAAATACGTTCACTGTAAAACCTACTTACTGTATTCATTTGTCCTTTTTCAAAGGGAAACGTCCGGGTGTTGTCAAGATTGCTTTCCTTATCACCGATGGGCAATCAAACGTTGATCCCTGGAAGACCATACCAAATGCTAACTTATTGAGAGCTAGTGGTGTGGAGATTTTTGTCGTTGCTGTTGGAGATTACAAATCAGGAATCAGTGAAATCGTGGAAATAGCTTCGCCAGACCGTAAATACCACGTGTTCCGCGTCGCTGACATGAATGGCTTCCTGGATGTTACAAATTTGGCTTTTAAGTTAGTTGCTCCCAAGAAATATGCAGCTTTAACTCCTCATAAGAAACTTTGTTAAAACGATAAATATCAAACTTGCCTTCTATTTTAAGTCGTAGTTTCAAAGGAACAGTAATTTAATATAACTTATTTTAGCAATTAAGTAATTAGTTTATTATTTCCCTCAAGTTTGAATATCACTTTGTAATGGATCCAAGGTCAAGTAGGAATCGTAGGAAACGTTTTCAACCTTTAAAATAGAGGATTTTGTGAGTTCGTTTTGTTTAATATTGATTGAAAGAAGAGCTCTATTGCTTTCATAGTAAGTTTGGTTAACAAAGGAATGTAATAAACGAAGGCGCTAATTCATGGCTTAGATTAATGTTGTCATTAATGTTATTACGTCAAGTTTTGTGGTCACTTTTTGTTAGACGTTCAAAAAGGTGGGAATGGAGAATTTGGGCACAAAGGTGGGAGAATACTGCTGAGGATTGCGTCTGCAGGATTTATGGGTAGACGAAGAAATTAAAAAACAACTTCATGACCGGGAAAAAAGTTGGATATTATCGTTTTCTAGATGGCGTTTACTTAGCATAAAGTTGTATTAAAACTCCCGCTCTACGAACTGTCAGACACTTTTCGGTCGTTAGTAAATTGCCATCTCACGATGTTATGAAGCAGTAAGTTTGCATAAATTGAGTTATTGACTAAATCGATTCATGAAGACTGGCATGACACTGTGGAGAGGCGCAAAGTAAAACTTTTAAAGAACCCCCGCATGATCTAATAGGTTTTTTAGTCAACAACCGTGCAACTTTGTGGAACAATTGAACTGTGCAACCTGAAGCACTTGACGAACGACTGAGTTTCATCCTAAAATATTGCAATTGTTGATCTAAGAGAGCAAATGGGCCAGGGCAAGAGACAATGAATATCATGCTTTGGACCACCATTTCGCAGATGACGGAACTCCTCGATGTTTTTCAAGGTCTACCAAACAGCGTTTCTTGGCGGGGTTACTTTTGGGGCAGCTTGACATCTTTTTTTCCTTCACTAAGCTTGATGAGAATGTCAACGATCAGGAGAATTAAACCAAGTCACAGAGCTCTAAGACAAATGTGCTAAATAGTCTCCGGTGTTACAAAAGGTAACATCATGTGATGTTGTTTTTTTCGGGGGAAGTTGTAAGAATATGTTTTGATTATTTCATTCTAATCAAATACTTCCATGCAAAAAGGAAAGTTAAAAAATATTCTGATTATAATACTATGGGAAACGACCAAGGATATTTTGTATAACAGCCTAAGGTCTCTAAACAAGGCATTCTTTTTCATGACAAAGTCATTTAAAGAAGGGAATTTCAGTATTGAAACGAACGTGTCAGCTTTGATAACAATAAGCTTTCTTAAAATGACCGCGCATGGCCATTTTGGTCAGTGTTGGTAACAGCTTTAAAATACACACGGGATTTTGCAAAATTTTTGATTAACATGAAGCGGTAAATTTTTAAAAACCATCGGAAATTCTTTTGATGCAAATACTTAAGATGGGGTGGACGGTGAAGGTGATACTTTCCCTCTAAAGCAAAAGCCGTTATATTGTACAGCACGTTGCATCGATGAACATTAGATATGGCCGAATACATAGCCGAACAGCTGAGGCAGCTCATGCTCACATTGTACCTCTAGGCACAACCTCTAAAGACTTGAATTATTTTCCGTTAAATTTATTGTTATTTATTTGTTCTTGTTCTGCAATTGATTAATTGGCAGCTGTTTCAGCTGAGAAAGAGAATAAACGGATATTTCTCTTAATTAGTAATATCGATCAGTCTATGAATTTCGAGGGCTGTTTTTCTTCAGACATCAAATCTAATCTTGAACAATATTTTGATCTCAATAAAAGACACATTGATGAGATAATTATTGGTTTCAATACACTTCATGATTATTCACAATGCTCGAAACTTCCCTATGGCTGAAGGTCAGAATAGTAAAAAGAAACGAGAAAAATAACAATGTATTGTGTGACTGTGCGTTCTTCAAAGCTGAGTAACAATGTACGTGAGATGAGAAAGGGAACGTGCCATCCTTGCCAACTGAAACAGTCCAAATTTGGAAACAAATAGTATTTCGCAGCCGGTGAGATGAATCGAATCACTCACCCAGGAGGGGGCAGTAACACTCAAGCTGCATTAGTGAAGGCCATGGAATTACTTGAAAACTCCTGGGGGGGTCGGTGGGGTAGGATGCGTTGCCCTTCTCGCTCTAAATTTTTCGAAAAACTGTCTGAAGTGAACTAACCGACTTTTGTTTATGAAACTTTCCTGATAAATTTTTCCTTTATCACGTAAACATAGATTTAATCACCAATCACATAGATTGGGAGTGACTTCGGCAGAACTCAGTTGGAAGTTAATCCGTCGTTTCTTAATGAAACATGCACCTATGTCGACTTTGGTCCGCATATGAGTGAAAATTCGATCGAAAACCAATATCCATGACTAGCCGTGATAAGACAACACAAGTATTCGAAATGACGAGTGAAATGTGAAGCGAAGATTTTTCCAAGGTTTAATGAATTGACTGAGAATTTGGTCACTAGAAAAAAACCTAGAATGTTTGTTGTTCGTAAGAAGTCCTATTTTGGCAGAACGACCGCACCCCCAAAGATTTGTCCCCATGGACAAGAGTTTTTCCGCGAAGAGACAAATAGGTCGCATTTGGTGTGGTCAACTGATGACAGGATTTTGGGTTCAGTGTTAGGGTTAAGGTTTTTATTTCATGGCTGTCTAGTTTTTCATGTACTTTGAGGTTCTCCTCTCAGGAGAGATTTGCTTATAGTTATACTATATTTTGGTCTTCCAATTGATTCATTCTGCAATCGGAAAGCGGGAAATAAAACTGGTAAAGTTGTAGTTGAGAAGTAATTCTCAGTATTTTGCAATTTCTAATCAACTCGCATAGCAACAATACAACTGTTTCACATTATCAACTCAATAGATAAAACATAACTATCTTACAGTAGCGATTATGTCTGTTAGAGGACAGCGCGCCCATATGAGGCTTCTCTTAGCATTGAGAATTTTCGCAAAATAATTTTGCCAAGATTGGATCAGGCAAAGACGGCTATAAATCTGGTAGAAATAAAAATGTAGTCTTATAGTGCTGAGTGTGTATTTGTAGCTAGAGCCGACATTTATTACTGTTCCGTCAAATTAAGTTTTGTGTGCCAGATAATCTGAATATCCCTTGTTGTGTAATATTATTTTATTTGTATGCTTTTATTCTTACCCTTAAAAGTCCTTGTTCAAAGGATTTTGCCTTTTTCCTTTCTCTATGTCTCGATCGGTATCGACAGCACGTGATATGTGTTACTATGCAATGTAAAGTGTTCAACCAAGATTAAGGTAAACTTCAGCACCACAGACAGATAATTTCCCCAGTTACGTGTTACGTTGTTTGTCGCTTAAGATCAAACCTCAGTCAAACGATTTTACAGCATGACTCATATACCTAATTCATGTACTAAACAAGCTTCCCTGTTGCTGAAGGTCAAATCGGCTCCAAAGAAATTTAATCCCGCAGCAGGGGCATTAACAAACAACACATGGAAGAATTGAAACTTTTCATACAGGCTGTGGAATTTCAATGCGTTCGGTCGTTGAGCCTCAAATTGAACAAGTTAACCAAAGAAAGCCACAGACGAAATACGAACAAGGATGTTTTTTAGCCAAATTCTTTTCGAGAAACGAGCCAAGCTTGTGCCTGTAAGATCGAACGTGACAGAAAGATAGCGGGTTACTGTCTGGCTTCCCCGTCTAGGTGAAACTTTTCCAAAAATAATTTTTTTTGAAAATGCTCATTCATCTTGAAATTAATTTTTGTTTTGTCTACCAAGCTCAATTATAGAAATGTGAGTAAACGGGGACTCCTTGGATAGAGTTTGGCTGTGAAAAAATTACATTTTGTTGAAGAACGACGCAATGTAAATTTTTGTTTAACCATTATGTGCGAGAACTAGAAACACCAATTGTTGGCTTTTATCTTGACCTTTAAAAGCCCTCGTTCTCAGAAATCTTTGTCTTTTTCGTTTCTCTTGGTATTCTCCAAATCGGTATCGACAACACGTTATATGTGTTACTGTGCAGTGTAAAGCGTTCATCTGATATCACGGTAACCTTCAGCACCATAGACAGTTAATTTCCCTCGTTACATGATCAGTTAGTTAATTAGGATGTTTGTCACTAGAGATCAAAATTTGGTTTAAACAAAACCTTAATCCAATTACAGTGACACAGTCAGCTTACGTTACCAGTCATATATCTTAGTAATGTTCTAAATCTGCTACCCTGTTACTGAAGGTCAAAGTAGCCAAGGAAAAATAGTCACGCAACAAGAGCATTGCTTCAGTTAACAAAGAAAGTATGGAAGAGTTCCCCATGTTTCATGCAGGCTGTGAAAACCGCCTGTACATGTCAAGCCAAATTCAGGTTCTCCACTGCTTAGTCGTTGAACGTCTATATGAAATATTTAACCAACGAAATTCAGAGAGGAAGTACAAGAAAGGGTATCTTCTTTTCGAAAAACAGAGCGAGTCTGCACCTTAAGATCGAACGTGACAGAAAGACTAGTTTCAGTCTGGCTTTCCTGTCGAGGTGAGGCTTTTCCAAAAATAGTTTAGCACTTGCTCAGTCTTGTAGAAAGTACTTTTTTGTTTACCGCACTGTTACCGAACATTTTTTTTTTACATTGTACAATTAATAAACCATAATGTACGAATATTAGAAAAAGTATCGTCGTCGTATTGGTTTTGTAGACTAGAACTGAATTTGCCGATCAGGTGATATCCGTCGTTCTTTCAAATTCCTCTTTTTGTAACTTCCCTTAATCGACGTCAGCGCTAAGCTCACAAAGACTGCGTGCTAAATAAAGCTTCAGGCCTCCACGTAACTCAACAACTTCAGCCTTCCCGTCACAGCTTCTCCTACATTCTTTACCTTCGCCAAAGTCTTTGCTGAGAAAATATACACGTACAGGGATTGCCCTCTGCTATAAAATCAACCAAGCGAAGACAACC